AGTTCGTCTGCAAAATCTTTTTCGTTGAAGAACTCTTCAACGTAATATCTCTTCCACCAGTCTTCAAAAGATGGTGAACAGAGGAAGTTGAGTTGGTAGTCGAACAATGATAGTACGGTCCGACCAACGTACCTACTAATATGCTTAGTAGCAGCATCCTCAGAGTAGTCATTACAAAAGTACAACAACGATTTCTCCCGAGGATAAATTGAAGAAGGAAGCGATTGGATAATGCCAAACTGTCGAGAGACAAGATTCGGCTGGTAAGCAATCAGGCTCAGATGATTCTTTGAACTCTTGAAGCGCAATGGCATTATCCTTGGAGTGAGAAACGCTTCCCACATCGTTGTGTGCTCCTCAAGGTGAGGATCCTCTGATGATTTAGGATGGGGCCTGGTGAACCACCCTGGGCCAAACTTTCGACCGGCGAAAGGGGCCATGGTCGAGGTAAATTCTTTCCTCCCTGCAAACATATGAACGAAGTTTGCAAAGGTCTTTTGAAGCTCCAACCCATCTTCAGTGGGAGTCAATAAGGCAAGCCTGGTGCCTTCGATACACCTTCTGGCTATCTCAGGAGCCTTTTCATTTATTTGAGTCTTCTGGGGTAGAAAAGACTCAAAAGTGGCGTTTAGCCAGAGTTGAAATAGACAGAAGGGTCCACCAAGCAGCAAGTTGGCTCTATTTTCTATTATTTTTAATTGAGTCGCTCCATTACTTATTGACTCATACAGGTTTGCCAGTATTAATTCGGCCAAACAGATGTTTTGACCGTGATGAAGTTGAGTAGAAAGGGTGACCATTTTCTTCGTCACCTGTAGGGATTTCGTGCAGAACACGAAGCGTGACAGCCAAAGGGCTAGAAACGCAATGTGCTCCACATCAGTCACCACAGCCGTCGATTTGTCGTGGTAGTGGTTGGTGTAGGTGGTATAAGTGGTTTGGTAGCTGAAAACCCAATCTGGTCTTCAGACATTTCCTCTGGGTCGAAGTAATCCCCAGTTGGTCGAAGACCAGTAATAGCAGCCACGTCGAAGAGAGTGGGTGTTACCATTCCACAAGGTAGGTGGAAGGTGTAGCGAGTATAGTCCCAAAATAGCAAAGAAGTTACCAGCATTTTAGGACAATAGTTGAGGCCAGTTTTGGACAGCATGACTAGGTCATAAATCCCCATGCCTTTCCAAATCGAAGCCTGGCACTTCTCCATCTTGTGGAGCCAAGCGTTGTATTCTGGTGTAAGGTTAGGGCTAGACCTAAAAGCCCTAACCCCCCTGTTGAAGAACCGAAGATCTATTTTCTATTTTTAGGATCTTCGGTATCGTCTGTCGCCTTCTTGGAGCACCCAATGGGCTTGAGTGCATCATGCACGGGGAAGAAACCCTCGATTTTCGTTGGGTTAGCAATGCATGTAGAAAGGGGGCCAGACATAGCAAAAACCTGGTTGGAATAGCCAACAGGAATCAGCAGTTGAGAACCATAAGTTTCACGCTCAGCATCTCCCATGGGTTCAGGAACCCTTCGCATTCCCATGGAGTTAACTATCGGAGCGGTTGAGAAGATTTCTGGTTGAGTAGTTTGAGAGGGAGTGCTATATCTGGGGACATTGGAAGCACGAGAACGTGAGGCCATTTTTTGGTTTGAGATGAAGATGGATGAAGAACAAAGATTTCTGGGTGTGGAGAGGAAGAAGCAAAGGTTTGCTTGCAGGAAATTTTGTTCGACTTAAGGCTTGGATGAAAGAAAGCGTAAAGAGTCCAACAAGGGGAACTTAGTGCTATTTATAGTGATTGAAAAATCACAAGACTCGAGGTCATTTAATGTCTCAGACAAGAGTGGGGCACGTGGCGCTCATTTGGTGATGTAGCCGTTCTGAAGAACGGAAACGGTGCAGCGTGCGTCCTCGATTTCGGGAAATAGTCATGATGACAACATTTGAAAAGACATCGTGCGTGTTAAATGCCTTACTGAAGTGACGTCTTGGGAACAGGTGAAATGATGACTTTTTGAGATTGTCAGTTGGTTGGTAGGAGGCGAAAAGCACACAAACTAATTTGAGGCTGAGAATGAAGGACATGTGTCGAATGGAATATCAAAGAATGTCTTTTTCTTTTAGTGTCGAAATAAGACATTCTTGGGGGGCAATTTGTTGGCTCCTAAATTCGACACCCATATTTATTATCATATAGACCATTAATTATGAGTCAAAAGAGTTTCCTACATAAGAAGGCTTCGACCAGCTGATCATGTCGAAGGCTCATCAAATAATGACAAGATACTTAGAGAAATTCCTTTAAGTTGGAATCTTGTTGTCTTCGACGTCGAAGGAACCTCTCGACAAAGGTACCTGATGCCCAAGGTTGAACGGTTTTAGATTTGAATTGTTGGAGGGAAAACGGTTCCCAGCAGCTACCAAGTGCAACGTGTCGAGAACATAGGCGTCGAAGATTGTGAGCGTGCCATGTGGCGTCATCTTGAAGCGGTGTAACTGCCCAGAGGTTACTTAGGATTTGTTTTAGTATAAATACTAGTTGTTCACGTAGTTTTCGCGTGTGTTCATCATTTTATACAAGTCACTCATTCAGATTCAAGTACCCAGCGTGAGAGAAAGAATCATTGAGAATGTATGTGTGAAACACCATTTGAATTAATCAAAGTCTTTTATATTCAAGCAATTTACCGTTGTATTCAAGCAATTTACCGTTGTTCATTTATTTACTTCCGTCGAAGCCTTTTTATTCAACAATTCCTTAACGGTTTTTATTTATTCTATCAAGCTTTTCTCCATGCAATTTATTTAAAGTGTCTTTACTTTACTGGCATTAATCACCATTAGGATTAGTCAAACTCCAGAAAATCAATCATGTCTTAGGATCAATCTGATCGATCCTGCTAGTCACCAAATAAGTAACATTTTGGAAGATCAACGGTTGTTTACCAATTTTCACAGTAAACAGTAGCGCCAAGGTTCGAACCCATGATCTGGGCCTCACCAGCGCGCTACCTTGCCACTGGAGTGGCTATACATCTGTTGATGTATATGAAACAACAAAAACATAACACAAACAATGTTCTTGCTCTGTACTTCATCTTCTTCCTCAAGCTGGCCAGAAGCTCTGTAACTTTCTCATTTCTCCATGAAAATGAAAACTTCCAACATGAAAATGGTAGCACTCATTCCCACGATTTCAACCATGTAAATCATGTAAGCTAACAATCAAAGATCAAAACGAATTTTAAAAGCCCTAAATTTAAACCTAATTTTTTCAGGAACTTCAAGTTCAAAATTCTCTCAACTCAGGTCAAATAAATGCAAGTTATATATATGTACAGCTTCGTAGTGATGATGTCTACATTATTTATTCATAAATCGTGGCCAATGGATGTCTGTATGAAGAGATAGAAGTTGATATTCTTACCTCTTTCAGCTGAGATCGTGAATGGAGTTTGAGTGAGATTTAATGTTATACTTTTTGTATTTGATTTTTTAAATGAATTTAATTTTGACTTCAAAATAAAAATAAACAAAAAAGTCATTTAAAGTTAGTAACTGCAGCAGCATCAAACTGCTTGGAGGCAGTTTTAAATCCGTAATATTTTTATTACTCAATTTTAAAATTATTAGATTGTTAACAATTCGACATATAAATTTAAAAGAAATTAGGTTAATATAGAAATAAAAATATTAAGTTACTATTATTAGATTATTAAATATATAAAAAATTACTTATATAATTTTTTATACACGAAGTATTAGTATAATATATTGTCTAAATATCTGTATCAAAAAATATTTATATTATTGTTCATAAGATTTAAACAATAAAATATATAACATTTGTAATAAATTTTAATTTTAATTTTTAGAAATTTAAATTGTTAAAGATGCTTCTTTGTTATTTCGGAAAGAAAAAATATATATTTTTATTAAAGAAAATGAGTGATATATAGACATTATAAAATATTTTTACACGATTAATAAATCATTATTATATATTTAATTAAATTATTTTTTTATTAAAAAATTAATAATAATATAAATTAATAATTTTTTATTAAATAATAGTATAAAATTATTTTATATTATCAAGGGAAATTCATTAAACCCTTTTCTTTAATATTTTGGTTTTTTTACAACAATTAATAGTTTGATTTATTTTGCTATTTTCTGCAATACTAGAAGATAAACACGCTTTCTATAAAGTTAGCCAGCAATTCATCAATATTAAACTGTATAAAATTAGCACTATAACTTCACTTTCTTCTTTTGACGGAATCAATTAATAAAAAAATAAAAGTAGACGGCATTACAGTTTACATCATACCACTTTAATTTTATCTTCTTTTTTTTTTTTTGTTGGCTGGTACTTTTATTCCTCTATATTGAATGATTAATATGAGAAAATTACAAAAAGATCAGAAGTAATATTATTTCATTTGTTTTAAAATGATTGTTGTTTAAATTTTTTACATATATATTAAAAGTAATGTATAAAGTAAAAAATAAATGATATAATTGAAAAAATAATAATCATTATTACTATATTTAAAAGTAAAAATAATTATTATTTTAAAACAAAATTTATTTATTAAATCATTTTAAAACAGATAAAATATTTTATTAAAGTAAAAGTCAAATATTTTATAAAAAAAATAAGGGTTTTAATTAATTGAAAGTGTAAAAATTTCTTTATACAACTCTATTAAATTCATAAAATAATATTAATATAAAATCGGATGTTAATTTACCATCTAAAAAAAATAAATTTTGACTATATTCCAGAGAAAAAGTTGTAACGTGTCTGTTCGAGTTTATCTTTTTCACAATCAAAATGTTTTTGATATTATTAATGTAAGCAACACTGAAAACTTGAGAACCAAAGTACAACAAATTCACTACTCCTATATAGACACAACACAAACTGAATCATTGATTAATGTGAAAGATTCATAGTTTGCAACAAAAAAAAAAACATAGGATCATTGATTAAGGTTTCTTGAAAAACATGAAGTTCTGCAAAAAATACCAGCAATACATGCAAGGCCAGGAGAATAAGAAACTTCCTGAGGTTGGATTGAAGAAGCTCAAGAAGATCTTGAAGAAGTGCCGTAGAGATCATTCTCATTCTCATTCCTATAAAGCATCTCAAACCTGTCCCAACCAGTGCCCAGGTTATCAAAAAGTTTGATATTTTTTTTCTGAATATGAATTTTCAAAAATATTGGATCTAACTTTGGTGTAATTGTTATTTTCAGTGTGTGATGGAACGTTCTTCCCTTCACTTCTGAGTGAAATGTCTGAGATAGTTGGATGCTTTAATCAACGTGCACAGAAATTGCTTGAGCTTCATCTTGCTTCTGGTTTCAGAAAGTACCTTTTATGGTTCAAAGGGAAGTTTCATAAAAATCACACTGCTCTTATTCAAGAAGGTGAAGATCTTGTTACTTATGCACTCATCAACGCTACCGCAATCCGTAAAATTCTAAAGAAATATGATAAGGTATGATGACGATCAGGGCCGCCTTTGAGAGCGTGCAACATGGTTTCTTCTTAATTTCTAATGTTATTTTCGCAGGTTCATTATTCGAAACAAGGGCAATTGTTTAAGTCACAGGTCCAAAGTATGCACAAGGAAATTCTACAAAGTCCATGGCTTTGTGAGCTTATGGCTTTCCACATCAATTTAAGAGAAACTAAGGTCGATTCAAGGAAGGAAACAGCTTTGTTTGATGAATGTTCTTTAACATTTAAGGATGGAAAACCATCACTTACTTGTGAGCTATTTGATTCTGCAAAAATTGATATTGACTTGACTTGTTCTATATGCTTGGTAAGTTAATTTTGTTTTATGCATCAAGCGCATTCATATTTTTCATTTTAACTAAGATTGCAACTGGTAGGAAGATGAAGATCTAGTCAAGCTAAGAGATTATGATGACATTATGTTGACATTGTCCATTTGGCTCTTCTATGACAGGACACAGTGTTTGATCCAGTTTCTCTAACTTGTGGTCATATATTCTGTTACATTTGTGCTTGCTCGGCTGCATCGGTATCTATTGTCGATGGACTTAAGGCCGCAAATCCTAAACAAAAATGTCCTCTATGCCGCGAGGTAATTGAGCTCTACACGATATGAGCCAACTGAACTCAATTAATTTGAATCTTATAATAAGAAGTTATACTTTTTGTGGATTGCAGCGCGCGACTTATGAAGGTGCTGTGCATTTGGAAGAACTTAATATTCTGTTAGGCCGAAGGTATGTTCGTATTTGTTTAATTATCGAACTTTTCTCGATCTAAATGTTGTATAATCATATTGTTTCTGATATAATTTGGATGGTTTTACAGCTGCCAGGAATATTGGGAACAAAGGCTTCAATCTGAGAGGGTAGAAAGGATTAAGCAAATAAAGGAACATTGGGATTCACAGTGTAGAGCTTTCATGGGTGTTTAGAAGATCATAAGCCTTATTAGTTTCTTTGGTAGAGTACAGGAGTGGTTTATGGGATAAAAATGTGAATACACATTTGTTTGATTGTATGTGTTTTGTATTTTAATGATTAGTCTGATTTAAAACCATATATATGGCTCTTAAGGGTAGTGTCTTTGTTCAATAAGGGGGTAATGTTCTAAACAAAATTAGTTCTCTCATTATAGATGCTCTAAGAATCTATTCAATGCTCTCAAACTATGCCATATGAATTGTCCTGTATTTGTTTCTCACTATTTGGAGTCTTAATTTGTCTCTGTTCTAGCCTTGACTTGATCAACATAAAAAAAGACACAGTAGTATATATATTTTTGTACATGTATGAACTTACAAAAAGGATTGCTGAAACATGTGATATGAGTTACAAGAAGGATGACCTGAACATGTGATATGAGTTTTTTGTCACGGGTAGTTTTGTTGCAATTTTCTCTTTTGCTTCTAATTTTGTTGCTTCTTTATTTAGATGTGAAGTTGTACATCAATGACTTCGATTACAGAGAGGATTTTGTTATTTTATAGATTGATCAGTTGAATGTAATTTAAGCAGGAGTAAGTCTTGAAGTAATATGACGATGCACAAAAACACCAAAATTATTTTAAAATATTCATCTTTTTCTCAAAAACTTCTTAAAAGTAATTCATGTAAGTATCTAAACCATTAAGAAGTATGTTTGATCAGTTATGAAAGATAAAATCACTATTTAATTGATTAGGCCTTTAATCTAATGAATTAAAGTAGAAGTAACACCTCTTAATATATCATGTAAACTTGTAATTGATTAAGTGACTTTGTAGATTAAGGCTTCCTTTTATGGCTTAACCTAATCAATAAGGTTGTTGGTATAATCAATTAGGAAGTGACTAGGCCAATGGATTATTATCTATTTTTGTTAATTTTTTCCTATATAAAGTGTTCTATTTTGGAACCAGAAATAGAGAGAAATGTGGAAGTTGCAATGGAGTAGAGCTTTCGATGCAGTAAGGAGGGGGGGATGTACCTGCATATTTAGCACTCTAACACTCATATCAGTATATGAAAGAGTATAGAGTATTCAAATTGTGTTTGAAACTTGTTACCTGATTCAACGTCATTTCCTATATATAGAGGAGAGAAATAATAGTCTCGCTATCTTTCATGCGTGGAATGTGGAGGACCGTTGAATGTGCATGAGGCATAAATCTCTTATAGAGAGGTATAAGATAGTCCTACGGTAAGAGAAGATTCTAGAAACATAATCGTATATTCGGTTAAGAGGCTTTGACATGGAACAAGCTATATCAAGGTGATTGGGCCAAGGTGAATATGGTCGGCCCATAACAGTTTCCCCAAAGCAATTATGCTTGAATAACAAGGTGAGAGTTTGGAGAATTTCATCATCGACGATCGATCATCCTTACTTCGTGATTTCACTGTTTTAGAATGTCAAACGTCTATTCGGGAACTGTTAGCTGAAGATTTCGACATCTGATAAAAATATAAAAGTTGATTTGAGAAGATCATGTTTTAAAAATAACATGAAATTTGACCTTACAAGGTTATTTTATAAAGCTCAATTTTTATGATTCGACATGTCGAAGGGAAAATTAAAGTGAAAGGAGTATTTCAAGATATGTGAATACTTCGACAGTCATGTTGGTTGAATTCAAAGTTGAATTCAAAAGCTTCAAGCGGGAAGTTTAAATTTCAAACTAATGCGTTTTCGCCAGGAAGACGCGTGGAAGCGCTAGAATGTATACATGTAAAAGATGTCGAACGTGACGTAATCTCATAGAAAGACCGTTAGGGTCGAATTAGTATAAATAGGAGTCTTAGATGTTAGGATTCAGGGTGTTCACATTGCATACAAATCACTCATACTCAAAGTACCAGAGCGAGAGAAAAGACTTTATTGATAATGTATATGTAAGAACACCATCATCTTATTCAAAGTTGTTTTCTTATTACAAAGTTATTTTAGTTGCTTTCTTTATTCCTTTTTTTCCAGTAAAACACTTTTAATAGATTTTGTCGAACTTCCTTAATAAGCATTTTTCTTTATATTTTATAAACATTTAGATCATTTCCTTTAAAGTTGTATTTAAGATTCATAGTTGAATTTCAAACATCTTGAAGTAACCATAATCACGTAGAAAGATCTTATTATTATGTCAAATTCTAAGTCAAATTGTAACACTAAGACACGTGTCCTAGGATCAATCTAGTCGATCCTGTAGGTTACCAAAACATTGAGTTTGGAAGACTAGGGATTATTTGTCAGAAATCACTGGTAAACAAATTGACACGCTCAGTGGGACTCGTGTCAAAGTGGTTTAGTCACATTGCTTGTGTTCTTTTAATTAGGATCTTTTTAGTTTCTCTTAGGAACACATTCTTGTCTTTAGTATATGAACCTTAGGAGTGGTAAGATAACTAACAATAACCAATCAATACCCAAAAGAAAACAAACCAAAAAAATGGTTAATAATACCAATAGTGGAGGAGGGAAAAATCCTCCACAAGGATTAGGCACAATCATGGCCAGTTCAACGAATACGTTAACTGCAATCCCTAATTCACAAGCCATGTCCATATCCACAGGACCCATGGCTACAAATAGTTCTATGCCTGGGTCTACAGGGCCCATGCCTACGAACAATTCAACAACCATGCCTGTTTCTACAAGCGTGGGAGAGATTCCTTCGAATACTCAAATCGGCCATGTGTTGGCATATGTTGGAAATCAGACTCAACCTACAACCCCAAGGCCACCAGGGTTTGAAAATTTTGAGCCTTGGAGGGAGCAATCCCAATATGGGATGCCAACTTCCTTTATGTCAGGGTTACATAATAATACATCCACAAATACACAGCCTACCATGACAACCTTTTTGCCAGTACAAAATTTAGATTCTGGTATGAACCATATGGGTCGAAATATGCAGAACCAAGGATTGTCAAACCAAATACCTATGCTTACAACTAATAATCAGGCAGCATTTAGGCAGCAAATGAACGCTAGTAACCATGACATGGTCGGAGTACTTGCCCGTGAAATGAATGCCATTTTCTCCCCTTTGATCCAAAATGTTAATAGGACAAACTAAGAAAATACCCAATCCTATCAGCAAATGTCAGCGTAGATGGCACGCATAGTAGATTTCTTTGGAGCCCCCAAGCACCTGTTCGACGTAGGTAAAACCAGGGGAAATTCAAGAAGAAGAACCCACTATCAATCAGGTTCGACCACCCAGACAAGATGTTGGCGCAAGGAACATGAGGGTAAGGATAGAACAACAAGAGATTCAACATGAGATCCCTGAGGAGCAACCCAAGAGAGTAGTAATGGTTAACAGAGATCAAAATGTAGAAGAAGTGATCCATAGAGTTAAGCAGGATAACATGTTGGCTGAAAATAATTTAACCACCATGATTGAGAGGATCATGGCCCTGAATGGCCTGAACACAGATTTTCGACGGCCAAATTACACATCTCCATTGACATATTTTATTTTGCAGGCTGAATTACCAAGGGGTTGTAAAGTCCCCAAATTCACAAAGTTTTCAGGAGATACTAACGAATCAACTGTCGAACATGTGGCCAGGTATCTGATAGAATCAGGGGATTTGGCAAATAGTGAAAACTTAAGGATAAAATACTTTCCTAGTTCATTAACAAAAAATGCTTTTACGTGGTTCACCATATTTCCACCAAATTCTATAGATACATGGCCTCATTTAGAGAGATTGTTCCATGAACAATTCTACATGGGGAAAACTAAGATAAGCCTTAAGGAGTTAGCCATCATCAAAAGAAATTTTACTGAACCTATAGATGACTATCTGAATAGGTTCCGTTTATTAAAGTCTAGATGTTTCACAGTAGTACCTGAACATGAATTAGTCGAAATGGCTGTCGGGGGATTAGATTACTCCATTCGAAAGAAACTAGATACTCAGTATCTAAGAGACATAGCCCAATTAGCAGATAGAGTTTGATCAGTCGAACGTTTAAAAGCAGAAAAGGCCAGAGCAAGTAAAAATTATAAGAAAGAGAGGGTAGCTTATGTCGAAGCCGAAGAAGAAGAAGAAGTAGAGGCCTTCAATGATATGTATGATTTTGGGGAATTCAAAGTAGATCTGGCTGAACTAAAAGAGGCACCCCCATACTCTTGTAAAATGCTTACACCAGCAAATGGCAGAAATCCTGTCGAAATAGAAAAGAATTAGAAATTTCCCAAGAAAACTTATATGTTTGACATTACTAAATGTGATGAGATTTTTGATTTGCTTGTAAAAGATGGTCAAATGATAGTGCCTCCTAATGCAAAAATTCCTCCGTTAGAACAACGGAAGAAAAGTGGCTTTTGCAAATATCATAATTTTCTGGGCCATAAAACTTCACAATGCTTTCTTTTTAGGGATCTTATTCAAAATGCTATCAAAGAAGGACGCTTGAAGTTTGCTAACAAAGCCAAGAACCACGTGAAGATTAATGATGACCCCCTCCATGTTGCACACACCAATTATGCTGAACCTGTGGAAATGAACATGGTGGATATGGTGGAATATGAAGGAGAAGAGGCCAAGAGAGTCGAAGGCTCAAACATGAACGACAAACAGGCTACTGAAGTCCTAACTAATATAATCCCTGGCGAAAATATTCCTGCAGGTGATGCTGAATCAGAGGCCACTGAAGGCCCTGAGGGAGGAATAATTGAGGCTACTGAAGGCCTTAAAGTCAAATTTGAGAAGATAAGGATTGTTGAAGGTCCTAGTCTAAGAGTTAACATGGTGGATTTGAACCAACCTCCACCAGAAATGGAAGAAGTCGAAAGATGCCTCAAGCTGGAAAGGGAACAAATGAGTTTTGGATACCCTAAGGCCAATGAGACTCTGCGAGAATACCTCTGGAAGTGTCATCGAAGGAATTCAGAGATGTTGATGTGTCCAAGGTGCAACATTTCTCTGAATCGAATGGTAGCAA